TCTGGCGCAGGGCAAATATATGGTCAGAGGTGCTTCGACCGGGCCGGAAGCCACACTGCTCTTCTTGGATATTGAGGTAAGCTATTTCACGGCACCTCCTTTCTAAATTATTCAACAAATATTCAACAAACGAAATATTCAACAGACGATATTCTGTACATTACACTGAATGCCATCCCGACCCCTGGGTGACACATAAATTAACATATCGTTGAAAATTGTAAGAGTGGAAGATTGAGTCCTTTCTGGACAGACAGTGTTCGGATACAAACTGTACAAGGAAGACTGGCTAAACTTGGTGACTGACTTTGCTGTGATTGACACTGTTTGAAAGTAGTGACTGGTGATGTTGATTAGCGCAACAACAGCAGCAGTTATCAGGAATTCAGAATTGGTTACGTATCTCCTGTTAGCAGAAAATGTATATTTTTGTTTGGTCGATTATTTTGCCTCATTTTCTGTATCTGTCCTCGTTTACCACTCATCCTTCTGCTGTTCGTTTTCCCTCCCGCTGAGTTACTCGTTCTTCGTTACTTTTATTTTCTCGTTGCCTTGAAAACTTCCCGCGTCATTGTTTTCTGTTTATAATCAAATGCTATCTTTCATTAAATTGTTCTTATTCTGATCCTTATGATATTGTTTAGTTTTGTTTCTTCATTACCTATCTCTTCTTTTTCTTCTTCCCATTCCGTTGTTTCTTCCCTGCACTCGCCGCTGATTTTTTTTTTCACCTTCATCGTTTTTCCATTTTCTTCTTTTTCTCTTCCTCGCGTTCACCGTTTTCTATTCTTCGTCTACTTATTCCTTCTTTTTTCCTCAACCTCCTGTTCTTCCTGTTTCTCTTTATTTACGTTTTCTTCACCGTTTTCTATTCTTCGTCTACATATTCCTTCTTTTTTTCCTCAATCTCCTGTTCTTACTGTTTCACTTTATTAACGTTTTTCCTCTTCTTTATTTATATTTTTCTTGCTCTTATTCTTTTTCTTCTCCTCATCGCATTTTTTTATCTTTTCCTTCTTACATAATACAGGCCTATCGTATAGGTTTTTCTAGCATACTGCTAGTTTTCGATTCCGCCGTTAATAGATATAGCATTTTCTTTATTCTTTCTATGAAATGGCATGATAGTACTGTCCCTTTGCTAGTAACCTATGAAACCACCTAAACAGGCTACGGCTCCATGGTATCTTAGCACCTGCGGTGGATTTATTTTGGCATGGATGCAAAATTGCATCACTGGAACTTTAGTTACTTCAATAGACTCTAATAACTGTTCTTAATCCTGTTGTATATGAGTTACCACAGTTCACTACGAAGGCATCAAGAAACGAAATACTGGAATCGTTATACGTGGGATATTGTTTATTGATGATTTTTCTTATGTACATGATTTGTGGTATTCAGGAAAGGTTTGTACCGATTTTGGTGCGCTCCTCAGAGAGTTTGGCTTGTCAGTGGATGATGTTAGAAGGTTTCGGTATTTCGTCGTTGCACATATGCAGAAAAACCTCGACTTCATGCTGAAGGCTTGCAGTTTCTCCATAACTCAGCTTCAGATCATTTTTACGATCTTCGGCTTGAACTTGAATATGGACGCGTTGCGCGATCAGTACGAACTTGCGTTACAACAGAAGCCTGAAGATTTGTGGATAAACGAGGTAATTGTCTTCGATTCTTTGTCAGTCATCATAGTGATTTTATCCGTTTGCAGTCAGTTAACTGTTAAAGGACAAAAACAGTCAAATGCTATGCTTGAGAATTACACAGATCACGATTGCTACAACATACGAAGCCACAAAAATCATGTTGCTCACCTCCTCCTCACCGCCATTGTCATCATTCTGTATTAGTGTAGAAAACCACCAAGTGCAGAATTTAGGATGCTTTTCATATACCATGATGATATTGGGCCAGTACCTGGGCGATTCGGAGTCGCGACACTAAAATTGACGAATTCTCACTGCATTTATGTACCTGACGAATCAAGCGGATCTCAGTGAATACCACAGGCAATATGTTTAATTACCCAGTGATTTTCATGGTTTAATGAATGGTAGTAGACCACACTGCTACCACACGCAGTTTTCATATTTGAATTGCATCTCTACATATACGTAGGCGTAGTAAATAACTTGGAATTTTGAACGTAGCTGCTTCGTGCACCCTTTTTATTTATATGCCGAAATCTGTACCTATCTATTAAATGTATCTGTGTAGAGTGAAATAGATTTCTATAGGAAGTTATTTATTTCAAAGGCTAAAACATTCCCTTAGTCGTGTCTGTAAATACTTGCGTTTGATCGAGTGCCGATAGTAGACCTTGAGTCGTTTATTAACTGATGCCATGAGGGAGTCCGTAGACGTGATATCACTGAGCATGAGAGGTGATCGATTTGTTGTATGTTATGTGACTCATTCGGTGCAAATATGCCTTTTTATAACGGTTCGATGTTGTTGTTTTAGGATTTTTGTAAGGCTCCAGGATTTTTGCGATATTTTGATCTTCGACAGAAGCTTACTCACGGAGAGACGTCGTCGAACGTTACAAATTGCGTTGAAGACGACGATGCCAAAGATGGCATTCAGGTAGTGCCAGAAATGGTTAGTGCTTGTAACGATGCGGTGGACGTAGAAAAGGCAGCATCGATGTTTGAGCTTCCGTCAAGCAACGTGGAGCCGTCTGCTTCCGAATTAACATCAGACGCAACCTGTGCAGCGACGAATGGCCAGCGCCGGCGCAAACGCGAGGTTCGGTCACGCATCAGGGTCGGTCGTCATAAGAGACCATCATCGGCGGACGAGGGCCCGCAAGAGCAACTCGCTCATTTCGATGTGTCCATAGTCGACCTGAGGCCCATCGAATATCATGCCCACGTTTGCGGTACTGCCTGTCTACCATATAGCGACGATCCAGATAACTGCCGCGATGCGTTTCCGTTCATGATTCCGCTGCTGTGCGGCTGGAATCGGGTACTGCTTCGTATATACGGTAAGCCGTCTTACGTCGATGTAGTGTACGTGGCGCCGTGCGGTCGACGAATTCGAGGCTTTGCTGATCTTATTCAATACCTCCGGATTACGAACAGTCGATTGACGTTGGAATTGTTTTGTTTTGACTCAAAACTCCGGGTTGCAGCCACGATTACTGTCGAGCAACCGCGAGTGCTCATCCCAGATATCGCCAATGGCGAAGAAATAGTCCCTATCCAATGCGTGAATGCTCTTGACGACGATCGACCTGACGAACATTTCACCTATCGCTCGGCACGCTACTCAAACGACCCGCGTATCGATTTGGATGAGGCGAAAATGTTTCTCTCCGGTTGCAGCTGCACGGGTAATGAATAATTGTTACTGAACATCTTATTAATCCATTGTTTGCGTTGAAACGAAGTTGAAAAGTGACGGTCCACCATATGAATTACATAGTCAGTAAAATCATAACCTTCAACA